ACTATGCTTAGGATATACTATTAATGTCCCTCACATGGTTACCACTTTTTTTCATGAGGATTATCACCTATATGGTACAATAATGTATCACTTAATGATGGGAATAAATTCTGAGAAACATGTCAGTAGACTATTTCATTGTTGTATAAGGCCTTGGGCTCCCAAATTGCTAGAATTATAGGCATGAGCTACCAGCCAACTGTATTATCATTATTTTTTGCTTTGTTTTTAGTTTTGAGACAGAGTCTCTGTCACTCTACATACAACAACCTCAAATTCTTGGGCTCAGGTGATTCTCTTGTCTCAGACTCCCAAGTAGCTGGGAATATAGGTACCTGCCACAATGCCCAGCTAGTTGTTCTTTTTTTTTTTCTTACTCCCAAATTTATTTTTCATGCTAAGGGATTTATTTATTTATTTTAGATTACATTGTTCTCACTTCCACAGTCAAGTTCTGGTTGTAAGAGAACCCCTCACCCAAGGGGCATGGTATATACCCACGCATTGTGCCCATTAGGTAAGATCCCACCAAGCGCCCTCCCTCCTTCTGTCAATTGTCCTCCCCCGTACTCCCATACCAGACTATATTTGTGTTTTATTGTTCATACAAGCATGTAATTGTTTATATACTGATTTCATATTAGTATTGAGTAGAGTGGATATTTATTTTTCCGTTCTTGCAATACTTTACTAAGAAAAATGTATTTCAGCTCCATCCAGGTAAACATAAAAAAAGTAAAGTCTCTATCTTTTATGGCTGAATAGTATTCCATGGTATACAAATACCACAATTCATTGACCTATTCATGGGTTGATGAGCATCAGGGTTGCTTCCACAACTTGGCAATTATGAATTGAGTTGCAATAAACATTCTGGTGCAAATGTCTTTGTGGTAAAATGATTTTTGTTCTGAGTTCTGGAAACCTACCATGTTTCCCCGAAAATGAGACCTACACAAAAAATAAGCCCTAGCAGGATTTCTATGCATTTGTTAAATACAAGCCGTACCCTGATAATAAGACCTAGTGATGGGTGACATCATGCATTTCTGTGTGCAGCAGTAAGGAAGACTGGAATACCTTTTATCTGTCAGAGCTCCTTTCTCTGAGCCATTTGCACTTGCGTGGGTGCATATGTGGTAAATGGGGTCGCAGGCACCCTATTTTACATGTGCAAACTGCTAGGGGAAACGAGTTCATGCATCACTAGCACCAGCCCCACCAACTTGGTCAGCTCCCCATCAGGTTCCAGAAGAAAATGACTTAACTGTATTTGAATAAATGTAGATTGTTGTATTATACTTAATAAAAATAAGACATCTCCTGAAAATAAGCCCTAGTCTTCTTGAGAAAAAATAAATTTTTCTTATTTTTGGGGAAACACGGTAGAAATGGAATTGTGGGATCAAATGGAAGGTCAACTTTTAGTTTTTTGAGAATTCTCCATACTTCTTTCCATAAAGATTGCATTAGTTTGCAATGCCACCAGCAGTGTAGAAATATTCCTTTCTCACCACATCCATGCCAGAACCTGCAGTGTGGGGACTTTGTGATGTAGGCTAATCTTATAGACTTAAGTGACATCTCAGAGTGGTTTTGACTTGCACTTCTCTGATGATTAAAGACGATGGGCATTTTTTCATGTGTTTGTTGGACATTTGTCATCTTTGGATAAGTTTCTGTTCAAGACTCTTGCCTACATATAGAAGGAGTAGTTTGTTCTTTTCTTCTTGTTTAAATTGAGTTCTCCATAGATTCTAGTTATCAAGCCTTTGTCAAATTCATAACATGGAAAAAATCTTCTCCCATTCTGAAGGCTGTTTGTTTTGTTTGTGGTACCCTTGCAGCCACGAATTATCAAAACCTGTAGTGTGGGATCCTATAAAAGCAGTTCTTAGAGGGAAATTTATTTATTTATTTATTTATTTTGGAGACAGAGCCTCAAGCTGAGCCCCTGGGCAGAGTGCCATGGCTCACTGCTCACAGCAACCTCCAACTCCTGGGCTCAAGCGAGTCTCCTGCCTCAGCCTCCCAAGTAGCTGGGACCACAGGCGTCCGCCACAACACCCGGCCATCCCTTGGTTGCAGCCATCATTGTTGCCTGGCAGGCCCGGGCTGGACTCACCCGCCACCTTAGGTGTATGTGGCTGGCGCCCCAGCCGCCTGAGCCACAGGCGCCAAGCCCTTAGAGGGAAATTTATAGTACTATATGCCTTCATCAAGAAAACAGAAAAGCCTGTAATCCCAGCACTCTGGGTGGCCTAGGCGGTGGATTGCTTGAGCTCAGAAGTTCAAGAGAAGCCCGAGCAAGAGTGAGGCTCTGTCTCTAAAAAAAAGCAAATAGTCAGGTGTTGTGGCAGGTGCCTGTAGTTCTAGTTACTTAGGAAACTGAGGCAAGAGAATCATTTTAGCCTAAG